TGCAAGTGATGCAGCAGATTTTGATATATGAAAACTACATTTGTAAACATCATCATGGCAAACACTAAAGGCAGAGCTAATCTTCCCTTCTACCCAAAGGCTTTATAATATTAAAAAATAATGGTGTAGAAATATAGACCCCTCCTCCTCAACAGGAAATGATATACTTAAGAAATCTCATCATAGTCTTTTGGGGGAATTTTTCTAAGAATTGAAATCTCTAGTGAATAAGATCCATTTAAAAACAAACTGTTAGTTATTGGATTATTTTAAGTAATTCTCCTTATAATTACTTCTGGAGAGGAGAGCATGGTACCAACCTTTGCTCCCTTTGTGTTTGTAACCAAATTGCTTGACTTTGACAAGTTGTTTAAAACTCTTTAAGTTAGAGTATATTACACTTTACTTGTAAACATCACCATATTACAGTTACTTTCAGGATTAAATTTAATGCGTACATTTTCTAGACCATTGTTCAGAACTTGGTGTGAGTCCATTTTTTCATTGTCAATCATGCCCTTATTTGAGGCCCTCCTTTGTGCCTAGCATTGAGCTCACCAAAAATGGACATAGCACAACATTTAAAGGTATATTCCCCATCCTCAATACCCTTGTGTCTTATACAAGAGGCTGTGCCTTTCATTGTGTGGCCACCATCCACATTCTGGCCTCAGAAGTCTCACCTGGAGAATTGCAGTTGACTTCCAACTAGGCTGTTGAACTCTACCTTTTGCTTTTTCAGTCCTTTTTGTCAACACCTGCCTTCCCCAGCTCTTCCCTGCCATTGGGCCCACCTGAGGCCTTCAAACCACGGATTTTGATTTCCCTGTCTCCTCTCTCGGACCAGACCAAGACAGTGTTCATGGCCATAATACATATATTTTGACACTGTTGATCTGACCTAGCTCTTTTCACAGTAATTTAGCCAACTTGTTTGACTGGAAGGCATTTTGAATGGGCGTGATGTATTGGTGAAAATGGCACATTGTGTGTCTGGGTGCCTCGGGTACTAAGCCAGGCCTATATTTACCAGCGCTGTGATAGTGTGCAACTATTTAGCTGTGCACAACTTCCTCAGTTGTTCACTGACTTCTGTAATAGTGCTTTTCATCTGACTGTGGTGAGGCATAAAAGACATAAGGCATGGAAAACCCTTAACACTGGTCTGATGTTTACTTACCTTCCACAGCAAAGAAGTATGACAAAATGAATATCAGCCATTTTAGAAGACTCATTATTAGGTTTTGAGAGGCCCAAATGTGCAAATGCTTTAAACAATTATTACTGTTTATTCAGTATCACATGCAATGGACAGCCCTTCGCTTTAGCCTCTCTCCCGCTGCACTTTGAGCAGCTTGCCCTGAAGCCCAGGGGTGGGGGAAGCTGAGGGATGGGAGAAGGAGCAGGGATAGGTGAGTATGTGAACATTTATTGGCATGAAAAAGAGCTGAGAAGTTTAATAGTTGTTTTTTTATGCCATGTCAATCTGTCCGTGGGGCCCAAATTCCTAAGTTAAAGCAACCCATCAAAATCTCAGGTGCCGTCCATATTAGTAGCCTCACAGTGCTGTGGGCATTAGTCCCGCTGCTGTCAAGGGGGCATTCACTTTGCCAAAAAGAAGCCTGGATACCACATGCCTCCCAGCTAGTCAGCTCTCCTTATCCCTCCCTCCCTGGATTTTGCCAGCCATCTCAGGAGAGTGCCTCATTTCCTAACCTTAGAAAACCACCAGTCCTCCCTGACCTCATGTTGTTTGACTTGGGCTCTGTCTAACCATTGCCAGCTCTCTTCTCTGAGGGCTGGACCCTGTACCCCAATCCTTTAGTCACTGTGTTCCCCCACCCCACCCAACCCTCACCTCTGGGTTGCACTCATCAATTTAGTGTTTCCTGACCTGACCCAGAGTTTTGTCATGTTTGACCTTTCTGAATGCTGGGCTGCATTCCCCAGATGGGGCCTCCGGGAATCAATACAGAAAGTGTTAACTCCCAAACTTTCCTCCCTACTTCAGTGTTGTTGGGATTACTGGTCACCATTTCCCCACACCCAGTATAAGGACCAGCCATAAAGCAGGACCAGGGCCCCTAACACTTGCTGCATCGAATCCCAGTCTTTTTCCCACCCCCAGAAGCTTCCTGTGGCCTCGGAATACCAAGTTCTTCACAGATCCCACTCACCTCAGTGTTATTGTCCTAAAATAGAACTCTGTGGTTCTAGTACTCATCAGGAACTTTCAGATATTGCCTAGAGACTATAAAGGAAAATCCAACTTCTTTAGCCGTCCAACACTCCAAGCTCATCTATCAATATTTTCATCCGCAAACTGTGCTTTGGCTAAACCTATAGGCAATTTTCAGACCTCCCTGCCTCTGTTTCACTATTTCTGCTGCTTGGTTTACCCTAACTTCCTCTTTCTTCCTATAAAAAGCCAACTCATTCTTTTATGCCCAAATGCCATCTCTTTCTTGGAATTTCTCCAGTCGTTTCAATGAAAATCGATAACTCCTCAGACTTAACCTTCTAATTTAACACCCATTTCATCTGATCTGATACTGTAATTAGTACCACAGTGACCATCTCCTCTGACTATAAATTCCTTGAGAGTACGGATCTGTTCCTTGCCTGTGGAATCCATGACTCAATTCAAAATCTCGCCTGGCATACAGTAGAAGACCTTGACACATTTTCTGAGACAGGTATTTTGTAGAATCACTCTCAGTTTGGATTTGTCTGTTGTTTTATCAGAGTTTCATTGAGGTTATGCATTTTTGGCAAGAACACCATATGTGATGTTGAAAGCTTTCCCTCTAAGATCAGGAAGACAAGGATGCTCACTCTCACCTCTTTATTCAACATAGTAGTATAGGTCCCAGTCAGAACATTTAGGCAAGAAAAAGAATGCAGACGACATGATTGTTCATATGGAAAACCCAAGATACTCCCCCCCATGTTAGAATTAATAAATAAATTTAGTAAAGTTGCAGGGTATAGAATCAATATACAAAAATCACTTGCATTTCTTTATGCTAACAATGGACTATCAGGAAGAGAAATTAAGGAAACAGCCCCATTTACAACTGAATCAAAAGGAATAAAACACCTGGGGATAAATTTAACCGAGGAGGTGAAAGTCCTGTACGCTGAAACCTATAAGATATTGGCTGGAGAAGTGATACAAACTAATTCTATCATTACTTCTTCTGTCACACAGACTGTTTCTGTTTGGAGCATTAGGAGCTTTTCAGGATGGCTGCTTGGTGTTTCAACGTGGCCCATCATTTTTTGAGCACTTCCTTATTTCCGGTGCCATAATATATTCCACTCTTCTGGTATTTTCTCCGCCTCGGCCCTAAAATCAATGACTTCTCCAAGGGGAATTGGTTTATTTTATTGTAGGACAGTATTTAGAAATGCTGAGATCTGGTGCCTGTACTAGACATGGGAGCCAACCTGGGAAGTTATATTACCAGAAATCTTGTTCAGAATATCACAGAAGACTTTGTAGCAAAATCACATTTAAGATGACACTTGAAGAATAAGTGAGTGTTATGAGATAAAAAGCAGTAGGAATAAGAGTTTCCTACAAAGAGAAGAGGTTATATAGAGGCCCTGACACATTTGAGAAGTTGAAGGGTTAGTAAAACGGAAGAGTTTTTAAATTTTTTTTTTCTTGAGGTCACATTGGTTAATAACGTTATCTAAATTTAAGGTGTACAATAGTATAATTTGATGTCTGTATACTCTTTTGGGTGCTCACAACCAAAAGCCTAGTTTCCATCTGTGATCATTTGTTTAACCCTATTTACCTACTTTGCCCTCTCTCCACTCTCCTTCTCCTCTGTAACCACTATAAAACATTGTCATTTGTGATAACATGAATGGATCTTAAGGGTATTCTGACTTATTTCTCTTAGCATAATACCCTTAAGATCCATTCATGTTATCACAAATGACAATGTTTTATCTTTTTTTTAAAAATTAAGGAGAGTGGAGAGAGGGCAAAGTAGGTAAATAGGGTTAAACAAATGATCACAGATGGAAACTAGGCTTTTGGTTGTGAGCACCCAAAAGAGTATACAGACATCAAATTATACTATTGTGCACCTAGAATTTAGATAACGTTATTAACCAATGTGACCTCAAGAAAAAAAAAATTTAAAAACTCTTCTGTTTTACTAACCCTTCAACTTCTCAAATGTGTCAGGGCCTCTATATAACCTCTTCTCTTTGTAGGAAACTCTTATTCCTACTGCTTTTTATCTCATAACACTCACTTATTCTTCAAGTGTCATCTTAAATGTGATTTTGCTACAAAGTCTTCTGTGATATTCTGAACAAGATTTCTGGTAATATAACTTCCCAGGTTGGCTCCCATGTCTAGTACAGGCACCAGATCTCAGTATTTCTAAATACTGTCCTACAATAAAATAAACCAATTCCCCTTGGAGAAGTCATTGATTTTAGGGCCGAGGCGGAGAAAATACCAGAAGAGTGGAATATATTATGGCACCGGAAATAAGGAAGTGCTCAAAAAATGATGGGCCACGTTGAAACACCAAGCAGCCATCCTGAAAAGCTCCTAATGCTCCAAACAGAAACAGTCTGTGTGACAGAAGAAGTAATGATAGAATTAGTTTGTATCACTTCTCCAGCCAATATCTTATAGGTTTCAGCGTACAGGACTTTCACCTCCTCGGTTAAATTTATCCCCAGGTGTTTTATTCCTTTTGATTCAGTTGTAAATGGGGCTGTTTCCTTAATTTCTCTTCCTGATAGTCCATTGTTAGCATAAAGAAATGCAAGTGATTTTTGTATATTGATTCTATATCCTGCAACTATACTAAATTTATTTATTAATTCTAACATGGGGGGGAGTATCTTGGGTTTTCCATATGAACAATCATGTCGTCTGCATTCTTTTTCTTGCCTAAATGTTCTGACTGGGACCTATACTACTATGTTGAATAAAGAGGTGAGAGTGAGCATCCTTGTCTTCCTGATCTTAGAGGGAAAGCTTTCAACATCACATATGGTGTTCTTGCCAAAAATGCATAACCTCAATGAAACTCTGATAAAACAACAGACAAATCCAAACTGAGAGTGATTCTACAAAATACCTGTCTCAGAAAATGTGTCAAGGTCTTCTACTGTATGCCAGGCGAGATTTTGAATTGAGTCATGGATTCCACAGGCAAGGAACAGATCCGTACTCTCAAGGAATTTATAGTCAGAGGAGATGGTCACTGTGGTACTGATCCTCAGTCCTACCCTAAGAGGCCCCGCTTCTCAGTCTCCCCATAATTGCTGCAAGCACCTCTGAGAGAAAGCCTCCCTCGAGTTCCAACCGATGCCAGACAGTCCAGTTTCTCCCGTATGAGTCTGGGTCCCCAGAGACTCACCCGGAACTGGAGTTCAGAGCAGTCTGGAGCTTGAGACTTCCTCCCGATTGAAAAAGACAACCATGTCCTCAGTTGCCAGCCCTTTCTGTGTGCACCTCCATACCTCTGCACTCTACTTCCATACCTCCTCTGAGTCTCAGTGTGCTTTTCTCTTTCCTTCTAGTTGTAGAATTTCCACTCAGCCAGCCTTCCTGTGGTTCTGGATGATGTCCGTTTTGTCTTTTAGTTGTAGTTTTGAAGTGGTTGTGCGAGGCAGCAATTTCAGGTGTTTACCTATGCCGCCATCTTGGTTTCTCTGTTTTATCTTTTAAAATATTATATTCTTTATTGATTTCAGAGTGCAAGGGAGGGGGAGAGAGAGAGAAATATCAGTGATGAGAGAGAATTATTGATTGGCTGCCTTCTGCATGCCCCACACTGGGTGTTGGGCCTGCAACCCGGGCATATGTCCTGACCAGGCCAATGCAATATTATCACATCTTCTTTATCCATTCATCCATCGATGGACACCTAAGGTTGTTTCCATATCCTGGCTATTGTAAGTAATGCTGCAATTAACATTGGCGTGCATATATCTTTTTGAATTAGTGTTTTCATGTTCTTCATATAAATACCCAGGAGAGGAATTGCTGGATCATATCGTAGCTCTAATCTCAATTTGTTGAGGAACTTCAATACTGTTTTAGAGAGGGTGAAAGGGAAGCATCTATCAGGGCTGGAGAGTTGGGACAGGTATCCCTTTCTATAGAAGAGTAGCCTATGCAGGTCAGGAGAAACTGAACAACCTCGGTGTTCTTGTGGAAGGCATGTCATAAGGTCACCACAAACATCCACAGTGCTTGGCATTTCTCAGTTAACCAGGCTGTTGCATATATATCATTCATAATTAAATTAGCCTCATAATTCATTCATTAAATATTTAGTAAGGACAACTGTGTGGGTTAGCTTCATGGTGAAAGATCTGGGATACACTGAGTTAGTTGCCGAAAGTAAAAAGAGTAAAAAACCCAAAAAAGACACAGTAAAGAACTAATTTAAAATTAAATATTTTCTCCTAGAATTTTTCCAGCAGGTGATTTACTACACCGAAAACAACAGACATGTGCCAATGCTAAAAATCTGGCTTGGCACAGTACCAGTAATAGCCATGTATAAGGCCGAATGTATAGAGGTGAGTCGATGGTGTGAGAATCTCATTAGAATAAGCACAAATATATGTCCTTATATTTAATTGAATTCATTACAATGAGGATTCCATTAAATTTCAAAGGCTGTGAAGGTGCCATTTAATGATTTCCAGATATAGTCTGAGTTCTGAGAAGAGTAGCAGCTTCTACATGTCTATACACATTTGGTATCAGGTAATATATTTTTCCTCCCTTTTGGGGAAGTATTCAGTTGAACAGAATTATAAATAGATTATTCTATGTGGTGAGATCATATCATCTGCCAGGCACCGTTTTAAGATTACAAAAGTAAAAGACTAATAAAATATTTTTTGTTTACCTTAAGAGGCTCAGAGTATCCATTATACTTTTATTATTTCAAGGTAATTTTTAAAAAGAGAACACTAATGTGATATTGATGGGAAAGATGTTGTTAATAAACGCTACTGAAATTACTCCTAAAAATTTTTTACCTTTCTTTTACTTATTATCATGACATTGGGGGTATTATATTTTGGTTTGATGACAAAGGATTTGGGTCAGGAAGTAAAAATGGAATAAACAGACCTTCTCTTCATGGAGAAAAATTAACAGCAGTATTTCCTAGGGTTGTTGGGTTTGGATACATCTTTCTTACTCATTGTGGTAAAACTCTTAGAGTGTCTCTAGTACCACACTGCTAAATCTACTGGCTCAGAGGAGATAGCGAGAGGGCCACATGTGAGATTTCAGCCATTGCTGGCCTAGTATAAGTGGGCTTAGTACATGTGGATAGAGATCTGTCCAAAGTAGGGAACTGCAGCAAGATCCTGAGAGGCATTTTTTGCATATGCTCATCCCTTCTGCTTTACTTTGGCTCCAGGCAACCTAATTATACCCATGGTTCCCAATGCTACTTATATCCTGGAGACATTCACATGTGAACCTAGTATAAGCCTTAATCCTGAGCTTCATACCTGCTTTCAGACTATGTCAACATGAATGCCTCCAAATCAACATACCTGATAATGAACTTGTGATTTCCATCTCCCTAAATGTGGTCATCCTTTGCTTCACCCACCTCTCTTCCCTCACTCCTACCCTCAGAATAAACAACTCCACTTGGCTCCTAATTCATGGGAGGAGTCAGGGAATTATCTTGGACATTTTCCTTTCAGTCAACTCTAGCTAGTGTCCAAGAGTGAGAGAAAGTTGTATGCTCCAAACTCTAATTGCATTTCTTTGAGTCATAGTAATGAAAATGAACACAAAGAAGTAATTGTTATGAAATGTTACTTTAGAAAGTAGTTGTGTCTAGCCCAGTATTCTAATAATTAAGGTTGCTTTCATATCTCTATCTCTCATTTTTCTTTTCTCTCTTTCTAAGGTAATTTTAACTAGCTCAAAGCAAATTGACAAGTCTTATCTGTACACATTCCTACAACCATGGCTTGGCCTAGGACTTCTTACCAGGTAA